GCTTTGGCGAAATGGCTAACTTTATCGTTTCTCTTCCGCTTCAGATTGCTTGAAGTTTTTATGCACAGAATGATTTTTTTTTTCTGTCCTCATGGATCTGTCGTTTTTCTGAGCTTCCAGTTCATTCCTTCCGTTTCGATTAGTTGATCTGTCTTCCATGTTTTCGCGCATTCAGGATTGGAGAGTATGCGTCTTCCAACATTCACAGTCATTCATTTGACAATCATCCTTGCTTAATCAACCTTTCGAAATTAGGTGTTTCAAAGCAAAAATCTTAGAATATGGTATAGTTTTGAGCGTGGGGGTATGCTTTTCAAGTATCAGAGCACAGAACAGAACAACAAATAATTCACAAAAAAAGCTACGGAATTTCAAGGATTAGAAAAAATTCCCGAAACTTTTATGTTTTTTCAGTAAAAAATCCTCAGTTTTCTACCTATTTCAGGTCAAAAAGTTGCAAAATTCTCACTCTCTTAAATTTTGCTGACGGAAGTGAAATGAAAGGGGCAAACCAAAACAAATCAATGTTGTTTTCCTTTTTTCACACTTTCACTGGCCTCATACTTTGTACCGGAATTTACTGTATTATGAAGTGTAGTACTATTATTCCATAAATTTGCTTCAAGACTCTCGAAATTTCAAAGCTGAAATTTAATAATTCATCATAATTCAAGTTATCATTTTTGCAAGCCCTGTTTTCGATGGATCGTTCCACCGTTCCTCGTTTTCGTCCGTCTTTTCCTCGCATTCAGATCCTGTATGCATATCCAATTGTTATGAACAATATTTAATCGATGACATGCACATATGTATTATTATTATCATTACGTGACCATTATGATTGTAAATTGTTTATCTTTGGCATAAATCAGCATGCGCATACAATACCTGTGAACCGCATGAGCTGCAGAGGAGAAAAGGAGGCTTAGTACAATCGCAATAATGCGTAATTGCTCTTGGTCCCGACTGGGTGCCTTGAATGTTAAGTTGGAGTTGGATATAGCTGATTTTTCGAGACCTCTTACTTATCCACAGCTTGAAATGATATTCCAAATCTAAATTGTTGTTGAGCTACGGAAAAACTAGAGATTAGTTCCCGGGATGGGTTAATCTAAAAGTGATATAGGCCTCGAGAACAGTTGAGCCTCAAATTTTTGCCGGAAGCGCATTGTAGAGAGAAAATACGGAGACAACGGAGAGGAGGTGAGGGATGTATTTATGATTTCTAGATTAATAGCGTTTATGGCTGCGTAATTGCGAATTTTTTCCAGCAAAATAAACACCAGAGAAGCGATTGCAGTGTTCGACAGTTCCTTGCTTAAAGCTGTCTAAAATTTGAAGAAAACACAGAATTTTTACCGAGAAGTGGTAAGGATGGGTTCTTGGTGTTGTAATCTAAACAGTCATTCTTCGCATGGATTAAGATGATACTGAAAAGCAAATAGGTTATATGAGACATCCGAGGCTTGGAATGCTGCGAGAAGTGGATGTGAAATTTGTGACGGCTTCTGAATCTTATAAACTGGAAATCCTAGGTACTGAATCCTACCGAGTTCAAAATCCTGAATATCTCGAAAAAGTCAAGTTCACCAGATTTCCTTTTTTGGCCACACAGTATGCAAAACCAAAAAAAAAAAAAAACAGTCAAAACGGTGAAATGAACAAAAACAGCGGAGATAGCATGACCAAAGAAATAAGCAAAAATAGCTATGGAATGAAGAAATTAAGGAAAAAATTGACAGAATTTTAAATTTAGTGAAATTAGTGAACTGGAAAAGAATGTTTCGGTACGTCAAATCGTACATATTTCGTGCTTCATCGGTCTTTGGCAGGAAGTTATGTTGCACACGTCGGAACGGCATTTGCGAGGGAGTAGTTGCACAGGTATCACTACAAATCACTTAAAAACATAGGAATAGAAATAAACGGCACAATAATATAATGCCATTATCGACTTAAAGCGCTTAAGTTTAGTGAGTATCAAGGTAGGGAAATCCGATTTTGATGATGGTACTGAGACAATTCAACATTTTAATTGGATTTATGCCAGGCTTTTTGGTCCTGAACTGCATGCCTAAAATTAATACTAACTTCCTCTCCCGTGTATGTGCGCCACCCCTTCGAGACTATCCGAGTGGTCAATCGCTGCTGTGTGACTTCCACCACCAGCTAGTGGACCATCAAATTACATAAATACGAAAATTTTTCGCAAGCAAAAAAATTTTCGCAAAAATCACAAATGTAACAAAAAAATTTTCGCAAAAATCAGTCTTCTTCCATCTTAGCAGTGATCCCTTCGTCGATGATTAAAATGAAAACATTGCTGAATGAAACTCTCCGAGATGCTCTTCCCGGCATACATTCACCATCGAATGCAAACAACTGTAAAAGGTTAGCAAACATCTTCGTTCAATAATTTATTTCTAATTTCGTAATTTTTTCATGCATTATTAAATTCACTCTCACTATTCGCAGCCCCACGCATGCAGCTCTTAGCACTCTAAAGTAATAAAGTGATTTAGTCAGAATTGCTGACTATAACCAGAAGCTTTCGAGAAATTTAGGAAAGGGCCATCGACGGTCTAACCAGCATGTGGTTGCTGTTGGCATTTGCTATCACTCGAGCTGCTCCCACAGTGTCTCAGCCCCTCAAAAAAAAGAAAACAAGGATCTTGAGTTTCATTAGAGAAAGGATGCCTCTTTCTTTCCTAT